CATTACATTACATACACAGAAACACACCTTGCATTCCTTACAGATACAAACATAGATTCACACAATGTGCCCCTTGCACACTCAGAAACACACCTACATCCCTTACACAAATTGGTATCCCTATACACTACATTCTATAAGAACACACACATTACATCCTCTAAAAAACACATCCCCTACACACATACTCTCCACTCCCTGTGAGCGAACTCATGCATGGGCCATGTAGGTGGACTTATGGGTGGGCCTTGTAGGCATACTCACAGTCAGATTAAATAGATAGATTCACACACACTCAGAAAAAAATATATATACAAAATATATGAAAAATAGGTATACCACCTATTGTAGACGTAAATATGGTGATTACATCTGAAAGACAAATGGAACATACATAGTGCTTTCCATATAAGTTAAAATAAACAAACTATAATATTTGAGGATTAAACTCACAAAGATGGAGCCTCATAGGCTCAAAATAAAAATGTTTGTATCTGACTGTGTTTGTGAGTGTGTGTGTTTGTGTCTGACTCTGTGTGTGTCTGACTGTGTTTGTGAGTGTGTGTGTGTTTGTATCTGACTGTGTTTGTGAGTGTGTGTGTTTGTGTATGTGTGTGTTTGTGTCTGACTGTGTTTGTCTGTTTGTGTATGTGTGTGTGTGTGTTTGTGTCTGACTGTGTTTGTGTATGTGTGTGTGTGTGTGTGTGTGTCTGACTGTGTGTGTGTATTTAGAAGGTGGGGCAGGGGGAAGGGTTGGGTGGGGGTGGTGCAGGGGCAGGGGGGCGCCTGAGTTTTGTCCTGCCTAGGGCAGCACAAAACCAGGATACACCACTGGTCTCCAGTATGTGGGTATGACTACTAGAAGTCTGAAAACCCGCATTATGGAGCACATGGGGAACATACGGAGGAGATACACCAAACACAGTGTATCAGCACATTTTTTAGAACATCATAATGGTGACGCTTCTCTTTTAAGTTTCATGGTGATTGGGAAAAAACGGATAAATTGGAGAGGAGAGGATAATGTCCGAGAATTAAGTAAATTAGAGGGTAAATGGATTTTTACCTTGGACACTATGTGCCCTAAAGGTCTTAATATAGATTTCGAATTAGTCCATTTTTTATAAATTTTATAATATTTGAATTTTTATATTTATATATTTAACAATATATGTTATTTATATATATTCATTTTTTATAGTTTTTATTGGATTTTCCTTTTTGGACATTTTTTTCCCTCTTTAATATATTATCTATTATGCCCTGTGTTTTGAGAATATTTTTGTACCTATTTACTAATTCACTACTTGTTATTTTCTTTATTTTTATACTATGTTGGATTAAGTTTGTTTGGGCATATGCCCTTTTCCAATATGGACATCTTTGGGACTATTTCCACCATGCTCGAGTGTGGAACGCATGGTGGAACGCAAAAATATCATGTGACCGCATCTAAACCGGAAGTCACATGCGTTTTGCCGAAACCGGAAGTGATATGATCGGCGGTATTTTGAAACCACAGCTGGACCCAGTGGAACATATCAAGGGGGCTATTTAAGCCCTGAAGTTTTCTCCAGGAATTTAGCACTGAGGAAGGCCCTATCAAGGGCTGAAACGCGTTTGCACTTTACTGGACTTCTCTATTGGGACTTTCTCTGGCGGTATTATTTTATTGTTTATGTATTATAGTGTTCCACTGCTTTTACTCTTTGGCCATAATTGCGGTGCAATACTGTATTATATTCTATTATTATACCTGCCTTGTCCCTAGATATCTATATTTTCTTTTAATATTTTATCATTATTATTTAATAAATTTGTATCTACATCTACTACTGTGGACCTCGAGTTCTTCAAACAGGAATCTATCGAGAGCCTGAATAGGCACCCAAGGGTGATGTACATAGAGCCTATGAGGCTCCATCTTTGTGAGTTTAATCCTCAAATATTATAGTTTGTTTATTTTAACTTATATGGAAAGCACTATGTATGTTCCATTTGTCTTTCAGATGTAATCACCATATTTACGTCTACAATAGGTGGTATACCTATTTTTCATATATTTTGTATATATATTTTTTTCTGAGTGTGTGTGAATCTATCTATTTAATCTTTCTACTTTGTCTTTAGGTGTTAAGGGATTACACCTTCTTTCACACTCACTTATATTGTCTATACTTAAGGTTGGAAGCGCCTACACAACTATATACTTTTTGTATATTTTGTTTTATACTCACAGTCAGGCCCTGGGGGCCCCAGACCTTGAGCTTTGTAAGGGGCCCAAAAAATGGAGCTGCTTCCTTTTCATTGATTTTTGTGAGCACTGTTACAGTCTCCAGATAGCATATTCTGCATAAGATCAGCGGAGCCAGACTGCAGCCTGAGCCCATCGGCATCCTCTTGTCCTCATCTGGTGGTAAGTAGGCAAACCAGTATATTATTAGTGACACTAATCTCTAATTTACCTCACATTAAAGGGCCACTATAGTCACCAGAACCACTACAGCTTAATGTAGTGGTTCTGGTGTCTATAGCCTGTCCCTGCAGGCTTTTTAATGTAAACACACTTTTAGATAACAGACACTTTCAGATAACAGACACGGTGTGCAGAACTAGCGTTAGCCCATATTGCAGATCATATGGGTGGGGCATTGTAATGTCACATGGTGGGAAGAACATATGGGGGTCGGAAAATTTTTGTTTTTCCTACGGCAGCACTGGCCCTGTGAACACTATATATAAATATATAAATAGATAGATAGATACATATACACATTCATACACAGGGTTTAACAAATAACAGGTGTCAGGTCGCCATGGCGACTAGAAATTTTGCCCTGGCACCTTGGATTTGTCAGCCTTTTGCTATGCTGCGCAGGAAACATTAAAGCCGGTCGCCGCAGGTGTGAACAAGCTCACTGATAAACACACGCTTGCTACAGACAAGCTCACTGACACACACACATGCTCACTACAGACAAGCTCACTGACACACACAAGCTCACTAAAGACAAGCTCACTGACACACACACAAGCTCACTACAGACAAGCTCACTGACACACACACAAACTCATTACAGACAAGCTCACTGACACACACACAAGCTCACACAGTAACAGGCACATACACGATCACTCTGTCATGCCTACCTGGCACTAAAAGCAGTGGCTGTGGGAGAACTGGGAGGCCATTTCCAGGTCTCTTTCTGCAGCAAGGTCCTCTGCTATAGAGTGGGGGCAGAGCTCCATGTGGGGGCAGAACTTGCGTACGGGGAGGCAATCTTCCATGTAGGGGCAGAGCTTGTGTGCCGGAAAAGCTACTGCACAGTGGCGGAACTAACGTAGAGAGGGCCCTGGTGCAAAAACGTTTTGGGCCCGTGAAGACACATGTACATGGGGTGGCCCTAACTGTGTGTTTGTGTCTGACTGTGTGTGTGTGTTTGTCTGACTGTGTGTTTGTGTCTGACTGTGTGTGTGTGTGTGTGTGTGTGTCTGGCTGTGTGTGTCTGACTGTGTGTGTGTGTGTTTGTGTCTGACTGTGTGTGTGTGTGTCTGACTGTGTGTTTGTGTCTGACTGTGTGTGTGTGTGTGTCTGACTGTGTGTTTGTGTCTGACTGTTTGTGTGTGTGTTTGTGACTATTTGTGTGTTTGTGTCTGTGTGTGTGTGTCTGACTGTTTGTGTGTGTGTGTCTGACTGTGTGTGTGTATTTAGAAGGTGGAGCAGGGGGGGAGGGTTGGGTGGGGGTGGCGAGGGGGGAGGGTGGTGCCTGAGTTTTGTCTTGCCTAGGGCAGCACAAAACCAGGATACACCACTGGTAATGGGGTGTGTATGTGTGTATGATTTGGTGTGTAGTGGGGTGAAGTATGTATGCATGTGTGTGGGGGTGAATGTACGTGAGGATGAAGTGTGTATGTAGGTGAAGAGATGATGTGTGGGATGAAGTGTGTGAGGGATGGACTGTGTGTGTGTGCAAAGGTGTACTCTTTTCAAATAGTTTTTATTGAAGTTTTTTGCAAATATTTACAAGTTGAAATAACATGACAGTTGCACCCTCGTTATTCGGCATGTGCTATAAACCTTAAACTTAAATAAGACACGGACACGTTTTAGACTGTTGGAGTATAAAGTCCACAGCTTTATTAATTATTAACTATATGAATAAATTAACATATTTAGGGTCATTGTCATAACTGACATTATGTTACTATGCCCCCGCACAATACCCCTGACAATGACCCTACTACTTGAACAATAAATAACATCCAAATTACAATAAACTTGAAACACCCGGCCTACCAAAGAGGCCCCATATCATAAGGATAACTGTAGGAGTGTACCCAGACACCCCTACACCCCCAGGTTCGTAGCCACCGAAGAGCTAGAACCTACCAACACTTGTTTCCGTCCGGCCTACTCCAGCCTAGACCTTGGCCTGTCCAGTTCCAATTCCACGAAAACTTCCAACTTAACTACGCCCTGTTCCCGCCGCTGTGACAAAGCTGGAAAATTGCCTCAAAACTAGGGAGGGTGGGTGGGACAACTAACAGGTATGTGAGGATCCGATTAGAATGGCCACTCTCTAAGATGGCTGCTATTTAACTGACCATAGCCCACCCCCAAGCTCCATTAGCTTAATCCAGCCCCTCAACTAATTACACCTGCACACTCTCTGGCTCTGTCAAGGCCCACTCCCCCACTTCGATTTTCCATGGGCTTCAGTATAATAAGGGTAGGGGAAGGAAGGGAAAAACTTAAGTAAGTATATTAGTGTACAAGGTATATAAATTGAATAATACTCCATAGCAAGTCATTACAGGTTATAAGTTTCTTTAACATCGGTTTCCCATTGATCCCAATGATATGTTAACTGTGCAAATATGTGTGAGTTGCTTCTGTGTGATAATTTGTATGATTTATTTTCTGGTGTCAGCTGTAGTACTTCTTTAATTGAGGGTAAATAGAAACATAGAATGTGACGGCAGATAAGAACCATTCGGCCCATCTAGTCTGCCCAATTTTCTAAATACTTTCTTTAGTCCCTAGCCTTATCTTATAGTTAGGATAGCCTTATGCCTATCCCACGCATGCTTAAACTCCTTGACTGTGTTAACCTCTACCACTTCAGCTGGAAGGCTATTCCATGCATCCACTACCCTCTCAGTAAAGTAATACTTCCTGATATTATTTTTAAACCTTTGTCCCTCTAATTTAAGACTATGTCCTCTTGTTGTGGTAGTTTTTCTTCTTTTAAATATAGTCTCCTCCTTTACTGTGTTGATTCCCTTTATATATTTAAATGTTTCTATCATATCCCCCCTGTCTCGTCTTTCCTCCAAGCTATACATGTTAAGATCCTTTAACCTTTCCTGGTAAGTTTTATCCCGCAATCCATGAACCAGTTTAGTAGCCCTTCTCTGAACCCTCTCTAAGGTATCAATATCCTTCTGAAGATACGGTCTCCAGTACTGTATACAATACTCCAAGTGAGGTCTCACCAGTGTTCTGTACAATGGCATGAGCACTTCCCTCTTTCTACTGCTAATACCTCTCCCTATACAACCAAGAATTCTGCTAGCATTTCCTGCTGCTCTATTACATTGTCTGCCTACCTTTAAGTCATCAGAAATAATCACCCTTAAATCCCTTTCCTCATATGTTGAGGTTAGGACTCTATCAAATATTCTGTACTCTGCCCTTGGGTTTTTACATCCAAGATGCATTATCTTGCACTTATCCACATTAAATGTCAGTTGCCACAATTCTGACCATTTTTCTAGTTTACCTAAATAATTTGCCATTTGGTTTATCCCTCCTGGAACATCAACCCTGTTACATATCTTAGTATCATCAGCAAAAAGACATACCTTACCATCAAGACCTTCTGCAATATCACTAATAAAAATATTAAAGAGAATGGGTCCAAGTACAGATCCCTGAGGTACGTGTTTAGTTTTCCAGTTTCTAGGTAAGCACGTAGTAGCGGCTATCAGGATGTGGCCTACTATTACTCTGTTAATTCTGTTGACTGATTCAGGGAGTTTTTTGAATCAAGCTAATTCGGATGTGAAGCTATCTATGTTACTCTCCTGTTGGGTAATCTAAGGTTTTATATGAATGGAATATAGATTGAATAATATCTGATGATATTCACACACACATAGAGCCTTCAGGGACCCTGTAGTTCTTTGTTTTAAGCAGTGATATAAACACTTATGAACGGCAGATGGCCAATAAACAGACTTTGCTAGAAAATATATATAAATTTAATAATACACACTATAAAATGCAAAGCAACAAAACAATACAATTATAATCAATTTGCTATATTGTATATGAGTTTATGACAACAAGTCAATTAGTTTACTTGACAAGCCTAAGAGTCAACATTACACTTTGTCTCATCAATAATCTATAATCAGTAAAGGATAATAAAATATATTACAAACTTCACAGCAATACCAGTATACAGAATTAATCATATGACACCCCTTGCATTAATGATACAATTGTCATTATATTAATTAGTTAAATATCAACCAACCCTGCCAAGTATATACCATCAGTTTAACTACAGTACGTTTATATAAGGTTTCTGATAGCCTTAGTATATACATTTATTGAACTGATCTACGTCTAAAAAAGGAATCAAGAATGTTCCGACTTAAGAAGTTATATCTGACTCAGGCTGCAGGTAGAATGAGATATAACTGTTCTATCAATAGGGATCAGTTCACAATATAGACACATAGGGCATTCAATAGTCCCATTTATTTAATATAAAGTAAAGAGAAACCTTTATACATTACCAAGAGTCTGGGATGTATTAATTCAATTTGGGATTCTTCTCTCTGGGTGCTCTGGTCTGTAATTCAGTCTATTGCCCTTAGTCAGTCAATCTCCTCCTTTCTTAGCCCTCTGTTTTCTCCTTTGATCTTTTTTTAAGATGATCTAAAGATATCGATCTTCTCTCTTATTTTTCTCCCTATTTAACCATTATTTCCCCCTTATCAGTTCCTGCCCCTTGTTTGTAAATGGGCAGTACCTGGGACTTAAATCTGGCTTTTTATTGGTTATGGGCGTATCTTAATATTTAATTATTAATGTGGCCCTCAAGGACTTTCATCAATAGATGGCACTATTTCCCTAGGTATGAAGACCTGAATTAGATCATTGATGACCTGGTTAAATAAATGAATTGACCTTTAATTCACCTATACTGGGGATATTTCAAATTACGTTAAATATCTGTGTTTGGTTATATATATTCTTTAATTAAAACAGGGTTAGTTATATTAATTATCATGCAACATGTCTATATCCTGTATCAATCTAACCTGTATGATTAACTGATTGATACATTCATCTTTACAAAGAAAAATAGAATCTAATTATATTAGTATATCTATATTACCTTTTACCCCTAAATCAGTCAAGGATGCAGTTATAGACATTACTGTAGCAATCACACATTTAGTTTACATTTGTATATCATGCATGATTCCAATAGATTCATTTAAGTTCTAATATCCTGAAAACATGGAAGTGACCTTAGACTTTGGGTTCGTATGTCTGACAAACACTCTGGATTGCCTGTGATGTTTATGCACAAACAATTGCATAGTTTGTATACCCCTTTGAAGCTCTGTGAGTTTAAGTTTTTCGGATTGTAAAGTCCCATTAAAGAATAAACCATTGTTCTTGTTACCCTTGTACACAGATAGCTCACAAATTAAACTGTAGATAAGTATTCCTCCTGTTTACTTCTTAAGGTTACAAAATACAAAGTTCCTTTGACCTGTGTTGAAACAGCATTACGAAATGTCCAGGTCAGTCTACCAGCATCCATATTGTTTTCTTTTAATATTAAAAATTATGGGGCACCAAATAGCACAACAGTCCACTTTAATAATTAAGTCGTGTATCGATTTCCACTATTTAGTTAGTCTTGGGCAGTACCACCACATGTGGGCCATATTACACAATCCTCCGCAGTCTATCCAATATCGATCACTGTACATGTTGTTCATGTTATGTAATCTGGACGGAGCTAGATACCATTGATACAGTATTTTAAAATGGTTTTCATGGTGGTTAGAACAAAAAGATAGTCCCTTCAATGCTGATAAAAAACTAAACCACTCCTCCAGCTCATATGGGGTACCCAGCTCTGTCTCCCAAGACAACATATGCTTTAATTTAATTGTTGGTTTATCATTGTGTGGTAAATAACATATAGATATTGTGCCCTTTCTGTTCGGGTCGTGTAAACACAGTTTTTCTAATGGCGATATTGCTAATGATTTATAGTTCTTATCGGTGTCTGGTATATTGTACATTCTTTCAGCTTCTCAATCACCAAACCACACTCATCCTTACATTCGGCAATCCATGCTTAAATTGTAACCTTTCATACGACAAGATAGAGTTTCCATGGAAAAAGTTATCTATATTATACAGGTGGTGTCCCTTTAGTAATTCTAAGTCCAAAGATGGCATGTAATATTTTAAAGATTCAATCGGCATGGCTCTATACAATTTTACTGAGTGGCAGTTATTTTTAAATACTATATCCCAGGCCTTAAGTGTAGTTTTAGTTGCCAGGCCTTCTTAAAGGGCTTAACCAGGGTAATTCCCTGAGTCGAGCTTGGAAGAATGTTGGATTCCTCTATCTCCATCCATTTTGGCCTATTTGTTTGGCTGTTAAAGCTTACAGCCACTGCAGCGTTAGTGGCAAAATAATACTTTCAGATATTTGGAACTCCAATACCCCCATGAAGTTTATGGTGTTGCAGGGATGTAAGCTTAATTCTACTAGATTTGTTATTCCAAATACATTTTAGCATTATAGAGTGTACTTTATTGAAGAAGGACAATGGAATGGATAAAGGGATAGTTCTAAAATAGTACAAGATTTTTGGAAGGATTGACATTTTTATTGAGGCGATTCTCCCTAACCATGACAGCTCCATCCCACTCCATCTCTCCATCTCCTTTTGTAGGCCCGACCATGCTCTCTTTAAGTTGTAAATATGCATATTAGGCAAATTTTTGCATAGATTAATTCCTAAATACTCTAAGTATTCCCTCCTCCAATCAAATGGATATGATGATCTCCATTCGTCTGTGTCAATTTTGTTCAAATGGAAGGGAAGGGCCTGAGTCTTAGATACATTCAACTTATAGTATGACACTTCCGCAAACTGAAGCAGGATAGTATTAAGAGACCTCAGGGAGTCTTTTGGGTTTTTGAGCGCTAGAATGACGTCGTCTGCAAATAATCCTATTTTGTGGGTGGGTCCCTTGATGTTAATACCTACAATTTCTGGGGTCGTCCTAATTAATTCGGCCAGAGATTCCATTGCAAAACAAAGAGAACCGGAGACAAAGGGCAACCCTGACGCGTCCCATTAGATGGGAAAAAGGTCCTTGATTGGAAACCCGAGACCGATACATGGGCTGTGGGTTCGCTATATAGTGCCTTAATCGCAGTAATAAAAGATGGTGGTATATTGAATCTGCTCATTGAATTCCATAGGTACCCCTAATGTATCCTGTCAAACGCCTTCTCTGCATCCAATGAAAGGAGCAGAGAAGGGGTTTTCGTCGAGTTAATATGTTGAATTAAATTAATGAACCTCCTCGTTCCATCAGGTGCTTGTCTGTCCTGAAAAAACCCCACCTGATCATTGTTGATCAGCAAAGGTATCAGTTTAGCTAATCTATTTGCTAGTATTTTAGAATAGATTTTCGAATCATTGTTAATGAGGGATATGGGCCTAAAGTTAGAGCATCTGTCAGGAGTTTTTCCTGGTTTTGGCAAGGTGACAATCTGTGCGCACAAAGACTCCCCCGGGATCTTCCCCCCGGACTTATAGGAGTTTAGACATATGGGGAATTAAAGTTTCCGAAAAGGTCTTGTAGTATAAAATGGTGAATCCATCTGGACCAGGGGCCTTTCCAGATGGCAGAAGTTTGATCGCCTCAGCTATCTCTGTGTCAGATACAGGGAGTGCAGAATTATTAGGCAAATGAGTATTTTGACCACATCATCCTCTTTATGCATGTTGTCTTACTCCAAGCTGTATAGGCTCGAAAGCCTACTACCAATTAAGCATATTAGGTGATGTGCATCTCTGTAATGAGAAGGGGTGTGGTCTAATGACATCAACACCCTATATCAGGTGTGCATAATTATTAGGCAACTTCCTTTCCTTTGGCAAAATGGGTCAAAAGAAGGACTTGACAGGCTCAGAAAAGTCAAAAATAGTGAGATATCTTGCAGA